GGAAATGATTTGGACTTTGGGGTCTGTGGGAGCCTGGTTCAAATCCTGTGTCTGCCTCTCCTCAGTGAGGCCAGGCCTGAGCACAGCAGCCAAAGCCACAGACCCAGTTTCTCCCAATACATTTCTTTTCACGTTTCCTGGTAAAATTCAGCAGTGTCTGAAACGGCCCTCTTGAATCATTTGCTTATCAGGCTCCTGTCAGTCTCCCAGACCTAGTAGGCTGCAACTGTGAAGATCTTTGCCTAAGGGCTTCTGATCCGCAGAGTTCTACCCTAATTCCTCTTCTCACGGCCAGTGTGGCTGCAGGAAGCACCTGCCTGGAGGCCTAGGCTTGCCTGTGCGCCTCCTAGATGCTCCCACATGGGCAGTGTTGCCAGAAACAAGGCAGGAGGCTCAGTTTGAGCTTCAGATAACAGGAGACTGTTTAGGCTGAGTACCTGTCGAGCGATACTGTGTTTGTTAATGCACAGGGCAGCGTGGGTTTCCCCTGCCGGTTCTAGCGCCGTCTTCTTACCTGTTCGTTTGTCAGGATTGTCAGGACTGAGGTCAGGACTCCCCAGGCTTCTGCACCACTGTATTCAAGCCTCGTCTTCCACCAGGGAGCACTCCCCTGGGGCTCAAGCCATAGCAACGGTGCTTTCTGTTGGCTGGTTCGCCCACATACTTTCATCAGGATGCAAGGGGGAGACTCGAGAACTCTGGACCAGGCTTGAGGATTGCTGGGCTCCCATCTACTCTCAAACCATACCATTATTTCTAATATCCTGCAGGCGAGCACCGCCGTTTCACAAGGACTGAAAAGCATACACTGCATTTCATTACAAGGCCATGAATGACTTTGTCCAAAGCCGTGCTAGCGGCGCGATGGGAAGAGCTGGGCTGCGGTGCGGTGGGGAGAGTGGGAGGTGTGAAGGAGGGCAGTGCCTGCCGCCAAGGCTTCCCGAGTCCAGGAGGGGGGGGGGTGGAAGAAGTGCCGCGCACAGGGTCAAGGCCAAATGGGGTGGAACTTGATGGGAAGAGCTGGCGGAGAGGAGGTGCAGAGAGGAGCAGCAGAGAGTGAGGTGGGGGGCCGGGGAAAGGAAACAGCTAGAGCACGAGAGGGATTCGTTTTGAATAGAGGGGCAGCCCGTCCGTTCCAAGGGGAGGGCAAGAGTGATGTGCCCAGTGTAGGCAAGTTCATAGCTTCAGTGACGGAAAGTTGGAGGAATTGCTGTCCACGGCCCTTCTCACTCTGGGGCATGGGAGGCGCTATCTTGGACTGGGAATGAGTCAGAGGCGTCAGGAAGATGGATGAAAGAGAATTGTGGGCAGCACGCCAGGGGGCAGCTCCAAGGGTGGAGGCACAGAGTAGTAGCTGGACTGGTCCCAGCTCGGGGCTTTGCCAGAAGGGTGCAGTGGGAGGGGAGGGGGGCAAGGAGATTGCTGAGAAGGGCGAGAAGGAAGGTAGAGTCTGGTAGAAGGGGGTTGATGGAAAAGCTTGGGGGGTCATGGCTAGGGGGCATCGGGGAAATGTGGGGTCACAGTAAGATGGCTGCCCTGGAGAGGGGACAGGGAGCCGGTCTCAGGTCTTTGTCTCACTGTGTGGCCTGGGCAAGTGAGGTGCCCTCCTGGGACCTGCGTTTCCTCTGCTCTGTTTCTCTGGCTCCAGAAGAGCTGCTTGGTGGGCTGACGTGGGAGGATGCAACCTGAGCATGGAAGGAGCTCTACGACCCTGTCAGGTAACAGGGACAGACAAAGCAGTTACCACCTGGCGACATTTGGGAGTTTGGCTCAAGGGCAGAAGGTGGTCTCCTGACCCAGGCCTCAAGGAGGACCCCGGCCTGAGTGAGTGAGAGCAGGCACTTGAGTCTCGTTGAGAAACTGGGTTGTGGCCCAAGGGCAGCAAAAGCTAGACTGAGGGCCTCCCTGGTGGCGCAGACGGTTGAGCGCCACACCGTGAAGCTGTCCGCAGCTTCTGCAGCGTGGGTTCAATCGCAGCCTGCCAGGAAGATTCCCACATGGGGCGGCAGACCTCTCCTGTCTCGCCCGCTGCTCCCCTCAGCAGTGTACTTCATGTGTTCCCTGCTCTGTCTCTGGTGAATCCTCTCGCCCTCCCATGCATCTGGCCTGTACCCCGATTTTTGTATAACTAGATCTTAAAAAAAAAAAATACAGTTTTTTTTTTTTTTATAAAAATAAGGCTGGACTGATTCCAGCTTGGGGTTTAAGCTTGTGCGGCATTATGGGGTCTGCCGGTCTCAGCTGCATCTTCTCAGATAGACAAGTTCACATCTACTGTGGACACCTTTTACATCCACCAGAAAGCAGCAAATGACAGACTCTCTTCAGAGCTGTTGACCCCTGGGTTCTCAACCTAATAATTCATTTGCCTATTTGATGATGGTTTATGAAAAAAAAAAAAAAAACAAAAAACCAAGGAAAATCTTTCCAGATCTCAAGCTAAGCCCTGTGTCTTGTTCTACCCATGGGATGGGTTAGCATCCCCTGGCCAGGAAAGCTTCCACTAAAAGCATTTCCCAAGTTGTATAAGGCGATGTTTCAAGAATAAAAGTCAAAAATAGGTTTGGAAAATCCCACCTTAGTATCATCTCTCTTGGAGATTCACAAACTGCTATCACATAAAAAAGAGCTGAAGAGTTAGCAGGAGAGAAAACTTTAATTTTGCCTCAACTTTTTAAAACCACAGAAGTCTTGCCCCACCTTGCCATTTCAGGGCGCATCACTCAGAACTCATCCTATGTATTTTGCGATTTTAAGCACCAATTAAACCACTCGCTATAGACTATTACTGTCTTAAGCCTGCTAAGGGGTGAGAATAATTCATGGCATGGACAGAAGCATTTTAAATCTGTGAGAAAACCCATAGTCCAAAAGTCAAGTTAACACACACCAACACAGTGTACTAGACATGCTGCAGACAGCATTCTCGGGACCAGACACAGCCTTATAAGGTGGCTTGACATTTTCTCATGGCCCAGGCCATCCTCCAAAAATATCCAGAGACAGAAGAGTGGGAACTGACCTCCCTGAATGTTTCAAATATTAACAAGCAGGCGCTCCATTAAACAGGAGCACTAACACCTGCTTCACGACCAGCTCCAAAAGCTCTAAAAAAACAAGCTGCTTTGCAGGCTCCCAGCCGGGGAGGGTGCTGCAGCTGGGAGCGACTAGATAGGGCCTCAAAGTCTGCATCCAAGCTGCTTTCTTTGCTCAAAAAAAGTGTTATTTCCTGTACTCCAGAATACGCTTTACAGTCTGTCTGCCTTTGCTTTATATGGACCATGAAGACCTATGGCTACTTTGCATTAGTGCGCCTTCCTGTCCCTCCAGCGTCCTTGGGCAAAGCTGTGTCAAAACTCCTTTGACACCCAAGCTCCAGATCGCTTGTGAGGTGCTGCCGCCTAGCGGGACAGCCCGGTTAAGACAACATGGAGGCAGAAATGACTTTTGGGCTTTTTGTAGCATCTGGATTGCATCCACAAAGGTCAAGGGTAGATGTGAAAGCACTGGTGTGGTAACAAGTCTATCTCTGGAATTACTGAACAGAAAACACAATTTCTAAACATAAAAAGATTTATGAAATGGGTACTGGGTATATAGCCTCTCACACATTTTATTTTTTGCCTGTCAAATGAGAGACTTTTAGTGTGGGTGAGTCGCCTTCTATGGGAAAAGACTATTTTTGGTAATGAGACCTTCCCCTATAACAGGAAGGGGTATCTCTAAATTTGGAAAAGAGAAAAAAATATTATTCTCTCGCATTTAAAAGAAAGTGCTGGTCAAAAAACCACAGCACTCTTCTAACTCTGGTTCTCAGATGCAGGCAGGGGAATGTTAATAGGTATGGCTATTTTTAGCAATAGTTGCTTAGAACAGTTTCTTCACCACTAAACAAATGACAATGAGCTGGTCTATTTGTAAGGCTGTGGGTTTTTGTTTTGTGTGTGCGTGTGTTTTTAGTATGAAGAATTGCAAAGCTAGTCTTCATTCTTGTTAAAAGGAATAGAACACAGCAGTATTTTTGGAATGCTGTGTGTAACAGCGGGTCTCTTAATTATACCAATGGTAATTCCTCAGGCTAGAGCTTATGTTAACATAGTACACATAATTGCCACAAAATATGACAATCACAAACTAGAAAGCCCTGCTTTCCCATTACCACCCAAGACTGTAAAGGTTGTGTTTTCTGAGTAGCCTCTACTATTAACTTTACCATCTGTTCCTTAATTTCCTTTGAAATAATTTTCTTTTCATAAACTTCTCAAACAGATTAGAACAGAGGTGGTTCTAACCACTATGCTGGTAACATCTCAGCATTTGGAAAGAACACGTTCCCCTTTGGGACAAATACCACACTCTTGGACAAGTGTGATGGCTAACAGAGAAGGGCCTGGCCAACTTAGGGAGGGGCCTTCGACTGCTGGAGGCACTAGAAGGGAGATTCCACCCAGAGAAATAACTAGAAAGTGCACAGCACATGAAGATAGCACTTTCACTTTGAGGTGAAGAAATCTGGGATGAACTAGCAGGTTGGGAGTGACCCAGCCCACTGCACCTGGTGTCTTTCACCACCGCCTGCTGTGCACATGCATATGTAGAGCAATTTCTAGGATTGTTCTGCATTTGGAGGCATTTTCAGAATGGGTACCTGATCGCAGCTAGTTTTAATGTAAGACAAATATTGTTGGGCAGCAGAATTTCCCTTTTTGATTTATACAGGAAAGTTCAATTTAAAAACATTGTAAGACAAGAGTCCTCAATCTTTTGCTGATCAGTTTCTTATATTTCCTGGTCATTTACATGAGAACTCCCACCTGTCCCTTTCCAACCAGGTTGGAGACTGGCTTGGTAAGCTTGAAGTCTGACTGGCAGGAAGAAAGACTTTTTGGAAATCTCTTAATATAATCTGTCTACTTTCTCCAGTAAGTGCAGAACCATTATGAATAGTAGAAATAGAAATAGATTTTAAAGCTGTCAAAGAAAGAGCTGGAATCCATAACAAAACAGACGCACTTCCATATTCCTGTAACATCACATTCAAGCCAGTTTAATGTGGAAAATCACTACTCACTGGTCAGTCAGTTTTTCAAATCCAGGCATAGCACACACCAGTTTATTTTGAAATGCAACACAGATCAGTATCTTATGAATACAACTTATTACTACATTATCAGGTAAAAACAGCTTCCAAATGCATGCATAGAAAGTTAAGCATAGTCTTTGAACTCCTTATTTCTAAATATACAAAAAATACATTTAAATTATATAATTTTAGTGAATCAAAGACTTATAAAATTACAATTTTGGTTTTCACAACATAGAAAAAATACAAAAATGAGTATATATATGGTTGTATAATTTTTTACCCAAACTTCGAAGGAGTGGTGTGTACTGATTTTGATGTTTTATATGAAACTCAGAATTGAAAATAATTTGCAGGTTGTACCACATCAATGTCAACCTTTTATTATAAATGAAAAACAAAACAGCACACAAACAAACAAACAAACAAACAAAAAAACAAGTAGAAGTGAGGGCACAATTTCCATAGGCCTCTTTAACACTACGTCTTCTAAACCCTTCCTGACGGAAGTTGGTTCCAGAGGAATGTTTTCATCTGGGAGGACGCTCTTTATTCTGTGACTAACTCTCTGGGTGCCTTTGATAGCAGTCAGTACACGTTAAATGAATGATCCCAATCTTAGCAAATGGAACACAGCAAGATGAAGATCAGCAGATGTGTCTACAGACCACTGCTGTGCACCTCAAAGGGCTGGCTGCCAGAGGCCCCCGGGGGATCTGAAACACCCAGTCAGGTGGAGGCCTCTGACTATGCCCAAAATTAAAAAAAAAAAAAAAAAAAATCAGCCTAACAAGAAAGTCACCAAAACACCATCTTCCTCATTCACACTTCCTAAGGAGATGGGACATTCAGTGGAGTTAGATGTTCTCAATTCACGAACCAACACCACCACTTCAAAGGAGAAACTAATTCATGTTAAAGTAGTTACTGACAGAGGTGACTGAGGGACGTGGCGACGGGCCTTACTTGTCTGCTATGAGCATTCTAAATGTTGATGTATAAGACCACACCGAGGTTCAGATCCTTTTTGAGATGGGAGTTGTTCACTGTGCTCTTGTTGCCAAAGTTCAATTTGATGCAATACCACCAGCCTACCTAGGACAGACTGCTTTTCATAGTGAAAATTACAGATAGGCCTGAATAAAACTTAGCAATCCTGGAAAACCTACATTTTTCATCCCATCTCCTATAACTATTCCAAAAATCTTACCCCAATTAATAAGGCTAATACAACCCAGTTTTATTCTATTTTACAGTAGAAAGACATCTTGGTAAAGTAAAAAGAGAAAAGGCAATTAAAAACAATCTTTCCCACATATTTTGTTTATCCAGTACAAGAACAGAACAGATTCTAGTCCCAGCATGTCCAAGTTAAGAGTGCTGACTTTAAGAAGCAGAATTTTAATATTCAATTCGAAAATAAAATTTTATTTCACACCTGTCTGCATTAAATTTTAGGGTGCATATTTTCTCATTTTCATCTTCTATGAAAATAAACATTCAAAAATTATCTTTCCATTATGATACTCTTCTGATATTAGCAATTATATTTTAAACGATAACTATTCAGTATGCTGGTTAGCCAGACATGAAGTTTTAAAGTGTAACCAATAAAAAAAAAAAAAAGAAGAAGAAAGGTTTCACAAAGAATATTCTGCATTTAAAATCTCACACACATCTGAACTTGGGCTTTACATTTTCATTTAACCCTCTCTTGGAGGGTCTTAAATGCACAATTGAGCAGTTAAATGGAACGAAGACACGACGCTTAATTAGACAAGGTCCACATGACCAAAGTGTTTCTTGGCTGCTCCAACATGCAGGGCCAATACTGCTTTCAGCTCACGACTGCCTAACTGGAAAACCTCTCTGCCTTTGGATTTACAATGTGGTGGGAATTACACGGGACCATAATCAGGAAAAGGAGCCACACAGAAGAGTTGAATGAAAAATTAAAAGCAAAGTAAGGGTGTGTAAACCTATTCCTGAATGTTCTTCTGGACTAGATTTTTAAGGTAACACCTTCCCTGTGCTTTCTACTCCTGTGACCAGCCTGGCTTCAGGTCCGTAGGCGAGAAAAGTTACAGGCAAATACATTACTCAGAGATCCTCTGAGAAGGGCACTGAAAGGTACTTGTCATTTACCAGTGACCGAGTTTCCCCTTTCTAAGAACTGTTAGAATATGAGCGAGGCTGAGCTCCAGATAAGGTAGCTTCTCTACAATGTATACATACTTATTAAATTCAAGCACGTTTCTTAGTGGCAGGCAGTAATGACTCAGTTGAAAACAAAAGGATTCTAGTTGTTTTCTGATTATGGGTACTACCCCAAGCTTCACAGACATATATACTGTTTAACTCATTCACTAGATATGAGGGGCTAGGACCCAGTCATAACTTCAGAGCATTCCAGAGAACAAAGTTTGCTGCTTCAAAAATACAAAGAGTTTCCAGCATGCAGTCAAGCACTTTGAAAAGGGAACGCTAAACACACTGCAGACTGAACATAACTCCACTGCAGGCTGGGCATTCAGTTGGTGCGACTTCATTACTCAGACTGTAACTCTCAAGTAGTTAGTGTTACAGATCTGTATTTATCAGATACGGGAAGGAAATAGGAGGATATAAAATGCCAAATCCCTTTCTAGCGCCATCATGATAAATACTGGGGACTGCTGGTTGGGAGAGCATGCTGACGTGGACCAGGCAGGATGTTTTATGTAACAGCTTTATTACCTTTTTTTTAATAGAAAATCCCAGGCCAGTGTGACACTGGGTTTTGGTTTCTGTTTTTTTTTTTTTTTTAATATTTTAAAAATAGTTCTTACTTATTTTTATCAAACGGATTGGGAACTCAAAAAGTCTGCAGCATTTTTTGATCTTTGAAAAGTTTGTCTTTTTGGGTGGGGGAGGGTGCGGGAAGCAGGAACTATTCAAATTTCTTGTGTTCTTCAGTATGAGAAAGGACCTTTCTTCTCTGATGTATCATATGGAAGTATAACTGTGGAAAAACTGGAAAGAAAAGAAAGACTTGGTTAAGGAAATAATTTAAAATCGCAAGTTGTATTTAAAGCACATGGACTTGGGCCTCCCCGGTGGCGCAGCAGTTGAGCGCTGGGTTGCGAAGCTGCCGGCAGCCTCTGCAGCGCCGGTTCGATCCCCGGCTGCTCCCCGGCCACCGGAGGAGGGTCCCACACTGCGCGCAGACCTCTCCTCCGCCCGCTGCTCCCCTCAGCAGTGAGCTCGGTCCTTCTGCCTGCTCTGCTCCCTGCTCTGGCTCTGGTGAATTCTCTCACCTTCCCGCGCTTCTGACTGTACCCAGTGCTTGTATAAATAAATAAATAAAAATAAATCTTTTAAAAAAAACAAAACAAAACTACTAAAGCACATGGACTTGTCCTCTCTGACTGCCTTCTCATCAAGCAAGGAAGGAAACAGGGAACAGGTAGGTGTGGAAGGGGGTAAAATAGAGAGACTTCTTTTCCTGCTTTAGCTGAGGAAGTAGAGGGCGTGGAGAGGAATGATAGACACTATTGTTATCATTACCACGCAAGATGCCATAGAGCCGCCAAAGAATATTCTTTGTGCTCATTATTTTCACATTTATTCTCTGATTTCACAACAAAATGAAAAATTCTAGTGATGGAGACAGTATTTCTGTTTCACAGAAGAGAGAATTCAACCCCAGAGAGGGTAGGCAACCTGGGGTTGCACAGCAAATCACTGTGACCAGCCTGGGATCTCACAGCAAATCACTGGCAAATCAGTATCAGCCTCTGGGCTCCTGATTCTGAGTTTAGGGCCCTTCTGTCACTGCTCTGCCACCTGGGGTATCTCCCAAAAATAATTCCAAGGAAGGGGATTCTGTACATAGGAAGATTGAAGTACTATGACATTTGATTTGTACATGACTAACCCAGGTCTGGAATCGGAAAAAAAGTTCTTGTGAAAAGGAAGTCAGTATCTTAAGCAATGGAAATTCTGATCTTGGACATTTCATAAATTATTTTAAAAAGTACAGGGTCTCAAATGAAAGGGGTGGTGATACCTCCCCAGGAAATACTGGAAACAGGGTGGGGGGAGGGGAGAGCTTATTCGAATTTAACATATGGGGCCAGAAATGTTAAAAAATAAACTATATGACCGTCCCCCACAACTAACACTTGTCTCACCTCGAATACCGATAGTGTCCCTGCTGGGAAGCGCCCAGTTACACGCCCTGCCTTTATGAGGTTACTGCGGCTGGGGGCTCATACCATGTGAAGTGCTCCAGGGAGATGGTCTTGGGTGTACAATATTCTCCCTTTCCTCTCACTACACAACCCCTCCCCCCTCTCAATAGCTCCACTCTCTATTTTTTTAGACAGTATTTTGGGGGAGGTAATTTCTACTACTGCCAACTCTCCCCTGACAGTTTCTTCCTTTTTAAATGGGTTCCAACTTTTGGCCAAATTTCAAATGATCCTCCCGAAGTACTCTAAGACAGTGGGTGTGTGCACACAGATCCGATCAACTGCAGAGGAGGCCCGGCGCTGAACAGGGCTGCTATCCATCCGTACTACTTGCAGGCAGGAAGTTATGAGCAGAAAAGACCCAGCTTGTGCATATAATTCAACAGCGAGAGAACTATTTTGGTATGAAAGCCAGCAAATTTGACAAGCTCTATAATCTTAAAACTGGAAGGAAAGATATAATTAAACCATAGGGATGCTAATTGTAATCATTTAAAAATGTGGGGCCAGTCACATTTTTATAGCTACACTTTAATAAAGAGAAACTTTGCAGCAAAGTTAGTTAAGGACTTGTCCACTGATTGCATTTATGGTCATATCACCTGACACAGGGCAGCTACCTCAGCCTTACAGCCGGTCAGAGGGGCCGAGGGAGCCATCCATTCGGTGCTGAGAGGCAATCAGAGTAGGACAGCCTTCGATAGCTTCATCACCACAGGCAAGGGCATGCTGGCTCCCCAAAGGGTCAGCTGTCAGAGATGGAGGGCAGATACGGACTTTTCATCTTCCAGAGGTACCCAAGAGAAAATGTGGCTTGTGGCTACTGATAATCTAGAGAGTGCCCCAGCTTCTTGGTGTCCTCACCCTACACCAGCATTTCTTATCCTTTTTCCCTACTCCCTTCCCTCAAACAACTTTTTGCCAATTTGGAAGGTGTAAACAGGACTGAGACGTCTACTGAGCCCTGCTGATTACACACACTCAACTGAAGCAGAGCAGGAGGGGAGTACCTGCAAGGGACCCCAAGACACCTCAACATAAGAAAATTTGTGGGGCCATGGTTCATGAGCCCCAATTTGGGATATACCTGCAACAAGAGGTCAGGACCATAAAGAAAAGGTGTTACCTTATATAATACATGTTCATCATCAACTATCCACTAAGAATTAAAAGAAACTTAAGGTTAGAAAGAAAACCAAATTGGGTAAAGAAGACTGCATGTTGACAGCAACCTCTCCTAATTCTGCATTTTCTTCTTATAAATACAAGGTTCTGGGAAGTTGAAAATGCTCAGTTGGCTGGAATGAACTGTACAAATTGGTCTCAATATTAACAACCGAAATGACTAGAAACATCCAGGGCACAGTGAAAGCCAGAAAACGAACCAAATGGTCTGTAGTAGGAGACATGGTCCAGCTGCCATCTTGAGCCTGGTGAGGAGCCAGGGATTTGGAGGGAATCTTTTAATCTTATTTGACATCAACTGTTTTGTTTGTTTGTTTGTTCCATAAGAGTTAAGCTGCCTTAAAAAAGAAATAATACAGACTTTAACCAAGCCATGTTTCTTGCCAAAAGGAGGCTGAGGATGGAAGAAAGGGGACGGAATTAAGGTAAAAAAAGCAGGCTTGTGTTGAGAGGACAGTCTTGTCCTATTCTCTGAAGGGCAGCTGGTCTGTTTTTTCTCTACTCTCTCTTTCAAGGTCAAAAGGAAAATCCCACAGAATTGGGTTTGTTTTCCTGCAGGAATCCTATCGCGAAGGGAAGGCTGCCTAGGCTTGCTCAGGATCCTTCACTCTAACAAGAGATCACAGGCAAAGGGCTGGGCACTGGCTGACCACCAGAGCACAAAAAAGATGTGAGGAGCAGACAGACCCAGGTTGCCCCTGAGAGAGCGAGCTGACCATGGAATGAAGCCGGGACTTCAGCAGACTAGAAATGCTGTAGCAACTCTGAGATAAGGGTCACAGATTTTGCCAGTGTGGTAGCACCTTGATATAGGTTTGATTTTATGATGCCCTCTCTACTCCTTTCCTAGTTATCACATATGACATCTATGTCCCAGTCATTCAAAAACTTCAGCTGAATTTACGTAAATCCTGTGGTGCCCACTGGAATATGTGTTCCTCTGGGTTACAGCAGAGCTGCAACTGAGAGCTGTTGCTCTGGAAACTGGAATGTGAAACTCTAAAGGAATAGAATTAGAAAGGTGAAAAACTGAAGGCTCATTTTTATGACTTACATTTTTAGGCTCTTCCATATTTATCTTTTGTTTGAAAATTAACTACCTTTTACATTCGAAGAGATGGCCTTTAGCTACCATGGTTCCAGCACCAAAGTGGAGGACTTGATAATTAACAAAGAGTGGAAAATGAATCATGAAGCGGAACTGCATCCAAGAATTTCTTCAAGATAAATGTTCTCATGAAATCTGGATGTAGTTTTTTTTTTTCTCATAATGCATGAAATGCAATTTTCCACAGAGGGACACAAACATGTCGCTTATGCTTGTTAAGATGATTCACTCAGTTGATGCTGTGGGCTGAAAAGAAATCCAACCCTCCTGTCTGAATTTAACCTGAAGTTCAGGGGAGAATATAGCATCTTATAGACTAAAATAACATTTAGCCATAAAATAATAGTTTCAGAAATAAACAGGAAGAAACATTAACATCATATAACCTTGGGTAGATCAACAACCTTTTGGATATGTGGAAATCACTCAGAGGATTTCAACTGAACATTAGAATTCATGAAAATGACTAAATTCCTCTTCCTCAGCAAGCAGGACTCGCCTCATAGAAGCCTCTGACATCCCCTTTTCTCTGTTACCAAGTGCTTACAGGCACATCTGATAATCCATATATTTAAATCTTTAGCAGAACTGTTAAAATAACTGGAAACCATCCTGAAGAGAACACTATGTCCCATTTAGATGGCTTTAAGTGCTCGTTTCCAAGCAAGAAAATGAGAACTATAGAAAAAAATAAATCAATCTATTTTTATTTTGTTATTCATTGAGTTAACTGATTCCTTAAAATGAAGTAACTGTCTATTTTGATACAGTAAACAATGCAACAATCTTTTTACAATGTTTTTCAGATACCACAGTAAGCAGTTCTCAAGAGACAGAAAGTCAAAGTAAGGTCTTTAATGGCTTTTTCTGTTTTCCACTCAGTACTTTCCTTCAATATATAGTTAACCTATTCTGGTAATCACTGTTTCAAGCCCACACACTAAGAAGGGCTTCATTTTGGCAGCTGCACTGAGAAGGGTTCATCTTTATTCAATTGCTACCAGAGAAAAGTTCCCCTTGACAGTCAGCATTCAATAAAAAACAAAGCGTTTCCAATAAATTAGATTTACATTTACTTGGATAGTGTGTAAAAGCAACCACCGGCATTTAAACTCTAGTTATTTTTAAAGCATAACTTAAAAAACATAAATAGATATATGCATAATTATTTACTTACGTGGAATGTAGGAGATCATTATCAGAATTAGGAATGCATAATAGTCAAAGGAGAAATTGTATTTGTTAGGTAAACTGATGGAATACAGGCCAGCCTGTCTGACAAAGGGCAAAGCAGCATATATTGTGAGTAATTCTCCTGACACTCCCATTGGGTACAGCACAATGAAAAGTGTGTACCTAAAACAAAACAAAATATTCATTACTGAAGCTTGAAACCAGCATTAGTAGGAAGATACACTCCCACCCTTCTTACCAGTACTGGTCCTTTAGAAAGTTATTGTTCACTCATTTTCCTATTTACCTACTATTTAAACTGGGATTTATAAGTCCGTTTTTGAAAAGGGCCTATAGCAGTTATATTTCTGAAAGTTCTAAAATAAATGTATTCAGTCAGCCTGAAAATTTGTCCTGAGTGAAAAATAACTTTTCAAAACAAGTCCCTAAAATAACGAAGGTGATGCCAAGTTTTGGTAAAGTTTGGGCACAAGTCATGGATTATATTGAAGGGTCCTGCCCGGTGGGGCTCAAGGGAGAGATACTGGAGCAGGGTGTCTACAAAACCTATGCAATGTCCACCCACTCTGATCTGTGGACTGAAAAAAAAACAGCACACCCAGGCAGTGGAAGCTGCTACATACGCTGATTTAAAAAACATTGAAAATATATAATAGCCATTTGTCATTATAATAATTTTTCAATCAAGTAACTATAATTACTATGTCTCCCATGTCTGTCACAGGAAAATCCATAAACTTCCCCTTCACCCCCCACTTTAAAAAGGAGTTCTTTATAGCTCAAAAAAGAATTCAGAGAGGTTCATCTTATGGAATTAATCTGAAACGGAGTTTAAGTATTGCTAAAGAAATCATCAGTTCAGATTTCCAAGTCTTTGGCCGTTTGTGGCTGAGAACTCCAAACCTCCAAGTATAGGAGTTGTGCTGAGAAATTTGTGACAACGACAGGAAGACTTGTTCACCATTGCCATCTTCAGTCATGCTAAGGAGGATGGTAGAAAAGGAAGGAAAAGGAAAGGCCACAGAAAACAATGGACAAAGCAATCTTTCTCCAATAGTAAAATCAGAGCTTGGTCAATAAGTTTTCCCTGCAACTCTATATTCCCTTGACTCTGTATTACAAGGCCTACTGGGGGGAGCTTAGTAACCGAGTAACTGCTGTGTCCTTCCCATTCTTGCCCTTTCCTAATAAAAATGTTTATTGTAAAGAAAAAATAGGGAAAGAAGGGAGTTTAAATACTTGAAACTCTGGAAACAATTGCTTTATGTCTCTAATTTAATCACTGAACTCACTGAAGTATGAAATGGGCCCCAAAGACAATTTTGATCCCACTGCTTTCTCATTGTTCCCTCTAGTCTTTCCGAAAGCTGCTGATAACTGTGTTATGGATCAATTCAGAAAAATGGATGAACTTATCGGCCTTTTACGTAATCCATAATAAATATTACCGGTAAAAATAAAGCAAAATAAAACTGATAAGCTAAAACTACCATGTAACATTGTTATTAGTGAAAAATTGAAGAGCCATAGCTTGTTGTCGAAATTGTGACTAGGAGAATTAGACTTGGTCCATAAATACATCATAAGGGCAAAAGCTCATGAGTAAAATTTGGTATGAAAAAAAAAAAAAAAGGTATTTTACATCAAATTTCTATTGAACAATTTACCTGGAAAGACTTGATCCAATAAAATAACTGAAGTATAAAAAATGTAAAACTGTTTCTATTAATCAAACTTGAGATCCTTAGCCTGATGAAATCTACAGACCAGATTTCTATCCAAATCCCATTTCATATAAGTATATTTTTAGAAACTTGGAAACAGTATGATGGATAATTTCAAGTTAGTTTTCATTTCATGTACTTCTTTACCTGGCCCACTTGATGAGGTAAGGCAGATGGTTTAACAGACTGAATGTATAAAAGGAGTAACGGATAATTTCCGTGATTGTCCAGGCAATAACAAACAGGAGCACACTATCTTCACTCTGTACCTGAAGGAAAAGGAAAACATAAGCAAAGCAAACAAATAAAGCAGCTTAACAAAGAAGCAGTCAGGAATTGCCACATCACTCCTTGCAGACCTGGGGGGCAGGGGTTGGGTATGTATTTGAAGTAAGTTGCCACAGCCACGGGTTGGTTTCTAACCTCAGTGGCCAGAGCAAGGCACAGAAAGTTTGCCACACAAAGGAGCACATGCCTACGACAACAATTGGGAACAGCAAGTGATAAGGGGCATATGAATTAGAGAGGGAGGGTAGGGGAATGGGATGAGTTATAGCCCACAGGAAGGAACAAACATGATGATTGAGTTTCTACCTGTTCATTTGCTAGCTTCGTCGTGGAGTGATATTGGTGGGGGTGGGGGTGGCGGAAAATGTAGTTAGACAGGGTAGAAGGGCAAACTGGTGGAAAGCTTGGGAACCATGAACAAGAATTTTACTTTTATTTGCATGAAAATTAGGAATCTGAAGAAATTTCAAAGAAGGGAAATGTAGTAATTAAAGCACCATTAAAGATGAGGTCAATTCACTGTGTAGCATCCATTTATTTTTCCTACTGGTAATTTCTTTTTTTTTTTTTCTTCTTTTTTTAAAGATTTATTTATACAAGCACTGGGTACAGTCAGAAGCATGGGAGGGTAAGATAATTCACCAGAGCCAGAGCGGGGAGCAGAACAGGCAGACTGACGAAGTACACTGCTGAGGGGAGCAGTGGGTGGCAGGAGAGGTCTGCGCGCCATGTGGGACCCTCCTCCGGTGGCCGGGGAGCAGCCGGGGATCGAACTGGCGCTGCAGAGGCTGCGGGCAGCTTCGCAACCCAGCGCTCAACCGCTGCGCCACCGGGGAGGCCCATGAGGCCTGATTTAACTCAAGGATTATAGAAGCTTCTGTATTGGTCACAGGAGGTGGCTAGAGCCTGACAGAGTTTTGGAATCCCCAGCTTCCTCTTAAGTTGTCTTCATGTTGAAAAAACAAAATACTTTTAAAAGAGTCCCTTAGGCCTCCCTGGTGGCACAGGGGTTAAAGTCTCAGCACTCTCAAGCTATCACCAGCCACTGCAGCAGGAGTTCCATCCCTGGCCAGGGAGGTGACCCACATGGAACAGCAGACCTCTCCTGTCTCGCCCGCTGCTCCCCTCAGCAGCATGTTTTAGTATATCTGTCTGTTCTGCCCCCCACTGTCTCTGGTGAATCCTCTCACCTCTATACCTTTGGGCTTCACCCCAGTTCTTATATACATAAATAAATCTTTAAAAAAAAAGAAAAAAAAGAGCCCCTTAGGCATTTTTTCTCTAGAGGCTATTTTCCATAAATGCTTTAGAATGACAATTTTGCATGAAAATTTATTACTGTGGTATTAACTTTCTTCTCCCTTTACTCCACCTAGCCAGGTTTATAATGGTTCTTAGAGCCTGGAAACCAATAATAAGAAACAACCTTGCCCCTGCCAATTCACTTAAGTTTTTTTGTATCCAAAAAGTGCCGTTAGAGAGTTGGATGTGAATAAGAAATTCCAGTGAGGAAAATGAACACATTTTTATTATGTGATGGATCTTCTGTCTCACTCCTAATACCTGACACAACAAAGGTATTGCATTCTAACCTTAACTTTTGCTTCTTTGCATTTGCAATGTTAATAGTTTTTAGCACTTATATTCTTCTTCAGAAAGTGTACATGGAGCAATCCACCTACACAATGAAATAAGTAGTCATTTACATACCTATTAACTAAATTGCTCTGACAAAGAATTTCAGAAATGCATAGTTACTATTCTCTAAAAATAATAAGAATTTTATACTGTCAAGAGCAAGAGAACTTTTTGTTTTGCTGGTGCTCTTATATTAGTCAAAGTAAAGTAAAAACGAAATACCTGTAAAGCTTTCATGTCTCATTTTTCAGTCTGTTCCCAAATCCTTGCTTAAAATCCACCTATACCAAAATATAATTCCAGAGCATACTTTGCTTTTTGATGTATTTTGTAATCCTCCTCATCTTAAGGGGATGTTTTTACAGCTATGGGCTGAAGACTTGCTTAAAGATCTCTGGGTTATAATAGGAAGTTCTAATATTTTGCACTGTAATCATCTTGAAAGCAGAGAGCAAGCTTTATTCATCTTTTGATCCCCAAAAGCACAAGTAGGAACTCAATAAATATTTGTGCAGCAAACAAATTCAATTCTAATTAGGTCACTCCCAAGACTTAGTTTCCTGCTTTTTGATACCTGATAATAGTTTCTGTGTAGCTTTGGGGCCTTCAAATAGGGAAAAAACAAACACCACCCCATCCCAACTTTCGCCCAAACCTTACATTGAGACCCAGCCTAAAGGTTACTTGATTCAAAACCTCAGTCCAACTCCTTTCCCCCACAACCAAGCAAAACTTGAATCAGAAGAACTGCAATAAACTCGAACTCAGCCTCACTGAAAGTTGTCTGTTCCCAGAGTCTAGCTGTGAAGACCATGCCATGCTCTTAAAAAGACTGAAGATTGGGCCTCCCTGGTGGCGCAAGGGGTTAAGATGCAACCTATGAAGCTGTCCGCAGCCACTGCAGCACGAGTTTGATCCCTGCGCTGGCCAGGGAGCTACCCACATGGCGCAGCAGACCTTTCCTGACTCGCCCACTGCTCCCTTCAGCAGTGTATTTCAGTCCGTTTGCCTCTTCTGTTCCCCACCCTGTCTCTGGTGAATCCTCTCACCCCCTGCACCTCTGGCCTGTACCACAGCTCTTGTATGCATAAATAAATAAATATTAAAAAAAAAAAAGACTGAGGATGGGGGAAATAACCATTTTGTATAAATGATCTGTTCAGCTCATTAGGTAGTAAAATAATTGTTATTAAGGAGGGACTTGGGTAAAGTCAGAGATCAAACTTGTCTGATTTGCAGTAATCATACAATGACACAAAACAGGAATAGAAGGTAACAATTTAAACTATTAAAATCAATGAGACTCAACAGCTATTGTACACCTACATTTATAGCAGCAATACTCACATTATGGAAGCAACCCATATATCCACCAACAGTTGAATCAACAAAAAGTGGTATATACATACAAAGGAATATTATTCAGTCAAAAAAAGGAAAGAAATTCTGACACATGCTACAGCATGGATGAACTTTGAGTATATTATGCTCAGTGAAATAAGCCATTCATAAAAGGACAAACACTGATTCCACTCATGTGGTATCCAAAGTAGTCAAATTGAGACAGACAGAAAGTAGATACAAAGGTTGCCAGAGGCTAGAGGTGGGAAGCAATCATTGCTTAATGGATATGATATTTCAGCTTGCGAAGATGAAAAATAATGTAGGGCCTCCCCGGTGGCGCAGTGGTTGAGCGCTGGGTTGTGAAGCTGCCCGCAGCCTCTGCAGCGCCGGTTCGATCCCCAGCTGCCGGGCGAGGGTCCCACATGGCGCGCAGGCCTCATCTGCCGCCCGCTGCTCCCCTCAGCAGTGTACTTTGTCACTCTGCCTGTTCTACTCTCCGCTCTGGCTCTGGTGAATTCTCTCACCCTCCCGTGCCTCTGACTGTACCCAGGGCTTGTATAAATAAATAATCTTAAAAAAAAAGAAAAATAATGTAGATGAATGGTGGTAAAGCCTGCACAGAAATGTACTTAACGTAACTGGACTGTATACTTCAACATGAGTTTGAGTTAAATGGCAAATTTTAAATTATATGTCATAAATTTACAATAAAATTTTTCAAAAATCTAGTAACATAAAACTTAATAAAGCTAAATGTAGGGCCTCCCCTGGTGGCGCAGGGGGGTGAGCGCAGTGCTGTGAAGCTGTCTGCAGCCTCTGCAGCACTGGTTCGATCCCTGCCTGCTGGCGAGGGTCCCACATGGCACAGCAGACCTCTCCTGTCACGCCCACTGCTCCCTCCCTAAAGCAGTGCTTTCGGTCAGTCTGCCTGTTCTGCTCCCTGCTCTGTCTCTGGTGAATCCTCTCACCCTCCCTTGCATCTGGCCTGTACCCTGGTTCTTGTATAAATAAATACATTAATTAAAAAAAAAAGCTAAATGTAAAGGTATATATATTCAGTAACAATAAAAGACTAAAGTGCAGATTGGAGAAGACCCAGTTTAAGAATCTAAGAGATCTGGAGTTCTTGGTAAATCACAGACTTCATGAGCTCATCAAATCAAACAGGAAATCAGGCAGCATTTGGCTACAATAAGAGTCTTATTCCTATTACTCCATTCTTTTTTTTTAATTTATTTTTTCATCATCTTTTAAAATTATTTTTTATTTATTTTATTTTTAAAACAATATTTGCTTCCCCCCCCCACCCCCTCAGATTGAGTCCCCATAGAATTTCCTTCCCCAAGGCACCCGTGCACCATCACCTCAGTCCCCTGTGCTCCTCCCTCCCTCCCTCTGATCCCTCTCCCTCCTCCTCCCCTGCAGCATGTCTCTGGTTTATAATTGTCTGTTTTTGCTTTGTTGTGTTTTGTGCTGTTATTATTATTTTTTCTTACACTGATGTCTTATTTGGTTCCCCTATATTGCTGTCATAAGTGAAACCATCCGGTATTTTTCATTTTCCTTCTGGCTTATTTCACTGAGCATAATTCCTTCTAGCTCCATCCACATTGCTGCGAATGGCATGAGTTTATCTTTTTTGATTGCTGAATAATATTCCATTGTGTATATATATATACCACATCTTCTTGATCCAGTCATCTATTTTGGGGCACTTGTGTTGTTTCCAGGTTAACGGAAGATTAGAACCCACCTAGGGATTAGAACCCCCTGAACTGAACTAGCAGTGCTTATCATACAAAGGAAAGAGAGCTTACTACTTCAGAAAGTAAAAGTGTCAAAAATCCCCTCGGCTCCTGGTTAGGGGGTACAGGGGCATGACTGGCTCCTCGGAGCCTGAGCCTACTGCCACGCCTGGTGTGAGATGGTTAATCCCGCACAGGGCGGGGCTTTTACACACCAGTGGGGAGCATGTTTTTAAAGAAAGTTTTTATAAATA